TCGGAGGCATATCTCACGAGCAGACCGTAAAATTCTATAAAAATGAAGGACTTGGGTTCGCTCGAAGGTCCAAGTCAAAATCGCGTTTTTTTTTTATCATAAATGAAATGGAACGCGTCAACGCGAAATGATATATGGTTCAAATCGATTTTGATGGCCTTTTACGCAAAAACTAAATGGTAATTAACCAGCGGTAAACTGCTAGTGCCGCATTTTTGTCCAACAAAAAAGAATAATTCGATTAATAAACATTTTTTTAACTCACGTATTCATTCACTTATTCACTATTAATAAAGAAAAACTTTGATAAATTGATATGAATATTCGGAATATTATTATAAATGAATTGTGAACAGTCTCCATCAATCCCCCTTGTGCAAAAAATGTTATTTGCCAGTGATGGTGAAAGTTTGCAAAAATAAGTGTAATATGCACAAGTTTAAACACTACCTATGAGATAGTGTGCCTAGCGCTTTTTCTAACCTGGTTTTCCCGGTAGGCCTATTCGACGATCTATTGTGATCCTATGGAGTGTTGAAAATGATGAAAGCTGTGTAAATTATGTAATTTGTAAATGGAAAAATAATTTAATTATTATTTTGAAGTAGATCTTCCTTTTTTATTGTCTTTTAGTTTCATTATCATGGATCTTGATGTTCTTAGTAAGGGCTTTCCAATCTATTCTGTGGCGCACATGCATGGAATGCTGTAATGTAATGGACAAGTGGTAATTCAGGTTTTGAAGTAATATTTCTGAAGAACATTTGATATGTGGTCAGTGATGATTTGAATGTAAGGAAGGACAACAGTGGAGTTGCTTTCGGATCATTGTCGTATTATATTCGATAACTGCTGATGACCGACTATGCCATCGTAAATCGTACCGACTATATTCAGGTTGTAATCACTTTTTGAGGAACTCGGCGCCAAAAAACAAAACGATACGCTTCGAGATACACCTTACCTTAATTTTTAAGTACTACATGCAAAAGGCTACCAACATAAAGTTCCTAATATTAACCATTCAAGACAAGTGGTAATTCTGGTTTTGAAGTAATATTTCTGAAGAACATTTGATATGTGGTCAGTGATGTTTTGAATGTAAGGAAGGACAACAGTGGAGTTGCTTTCGGATCATTGTCGTATTATATTCGATAACTGCTGATGAGTTTATTTTTCGTAATCGTAAGGTTCTTTCATGTTCTTTGAGGCTGGTTGATATTTTTCGTCCTGTATTGCCGTATATGCAGGGATTGATGTAAACTCCTGGCATCTCACACGGAATTTTGTCTTTGACGGATCGAAGAAATTGAGAGATTTTTGGACAAGTGGTAAATCTGGTTTTAGAGTTATTATTTATGAACTTTTGATATGTGGTCAATGATGTTTTGAATGTAAGGAAGGACAACAGTGCTAAGTGTGGGGTTGTTTTCGAACACTTGAAGGTACGTATGGTGAAGTGTGTGTTTGTGTGTGTGTGTGTGTGTGTGTGTGTGTGTGTGTGTGTGTGTGTGTGTGTGTGCGTGTGTGTGTGTGTGTGTAAACCAACCAATGTCTGATTTTCTATTGATAAAAATATCCAAGAATGGGAAATTACTTGAGTTTCTAATTCAATGATAAAACGTATGTTAGGGTGTCTAAAGTTTAACTGGCTAAGGAAATCTCTGAATCTCTTTGACCAATAAGGGGAAAAAACAATAGTATCATCAAAGTAGGGTTTTCATAATTTTGGTTTTAGATGAAAGGTGTCGGAAGCTTTTTTTTCAAGGGCTTCCACAAATATGTTCTCGATGACTGGTGACAATGTCCTCGGTGTTTGTTCATGAATTTGACTGTTACAAGAAAAATATGGACCCTGGTAAAGAAGGATTCTACATCGAAACGAATCAGAATATCATTTGGATCTAATATAATGGTTTTTAATTCTTCAAGCAAATGAAGGGAATTAAGTACGAAACTATCGGTTTTGGGGTAAAGAGTTTTAATATAGATGCTAGATATTTTAATAGACAACATGTTGGAGAACCAATGGTGTAAAGGAGTAATCTTGGTTTATGAATCGTAGGGAGTTCATAGAGACGAAGAATTTTAGAGTCATTAGCGGTGACAGACTTCTTTGTTTATGACCACCGTAGCGTTTCCTTTATCTGCTCTTGGATTACGATGTCGGGATTATATTTTAGAAGAATGCGGTCAGGCTTTGCAATATTATATTATATTTGGATTCTTAAAGGATTTTTGTGGTTTCACATCGAATTTGCTGTTTGAGATGGCAGTTTGTTTAGGATAGACTCTACATTTGAAAAGATTTCCTCTCTTATGGTAATACGTGGAGCAAGGACGAAGTCGGAACATTTTGCAAGAACTGAATTTTACGTCTCAGAAAGTTTGATTAGTTTTGGTTAGTTAGTGGTGTTGATGTTAGTTTTTCATCTTTGTCATGAATCTTATTTGAAAGGGTAAAGATCGATGTAATTTCAAGATATATAAACAGAACAGTCTCATTGGTAACGTCTTCACAAAGTCAATGTACATCTTTCCAGTTTTAGTCGGTGATCTTCTAATTTTCTGGGTTTGCGCTTGATGTCCTCTTCATAAAGGAACGTTAATTTTCCAAAGAAACTTCCACAAGCTACTGTAATAGTTAGTCCAATATGGAACAAGTATGGAAAACGGCAAAAAGTTTGCAAACGTGTTGCACATTATACTTTTTCTACGACCCTTAGTTTTTGGGTGAATTTTGCAAAACAAGTGACGCTCTCTTCGCACGCCAGATTGGTGTATAATTTAGTATTTTACAGAAGGGGGTACAAAATACTATTCATAAATCTTCTACTATATAAACAATATTGCTTTCGAAAAATCGTCACTGGGGTTCGTAGCGCGAAATTTTACACGAAACCTTAAACTCTTCCTCGACACAGTTTACGATACGATTTTTCATATTCACCCACAAAAGCGGAAATTTCTAGGATCTATTAGAATTTTTTGGCCACAAACGACGTACCCTATATATAATTCCAACAACGTTCGGAATAGAGGATATAGCACTGGATCTCCTTAGTTTCCTGGTATCCGAATTTTTCCGATGGAGTAAATGGTTTTCAAAAAACTACTTGTTTTCTGAAACCATGCAGTACGTGGTAATAGTAAATGACGTCATCGGGTCTAGATTGAGGGCGAGAAATGGTGATTTTCATTTGGATTTTTTGAAATATCTCGAACAGCGTATGTGATGAAAATCGCAAATACAAAGATTGTAGCCCTTGATACGGCCTATAACATTGTTTGAACGGATGAGCTATTTTTTGTACGAATTTTGATTTACGGTTAATAATTTACTCTCTGGATTTTTGTCAATAACTAAAACAACTTGTATATAATGGAAAAAATGCATAAAACAAAAGTTATAGCGCCGGGTCTCCCACGTATTACGGTTGTAAATTTTTTTCGAGCAGACGAATAGTTTTGGAGGAAAAGATGTTTTTTCTGGATGCCAAAATAACCAAAAAAAATCAAAAATAAAAAAATTATACTTCACGTTATTTTATTGTTCCCAATTTAAAAAAAAATTGCACGGAATATCGCGAACACCCAGTACAATACTTAAAAACCGTAAATACACAAGTTTAAGCTGTCTATATGGGCTTGTAAAAGAAACTGACATCTAAAACACAGATTTGAAATTATTGCCAATTTTCAATCAGATCCATTTTTCAGTTTTTTTTAATTTGCCGCGCACCCTGTATATTTTTGAAAAATTGTAAAGAATAAAAGTTTATGGAGTCGTTACCTCCGCGTCTTCTGGTTCAAGAATTTTTTCGGTCTTGTAAACCGTTTTTGAAAAATGGTTTCTTTCGTAGACCCTTGCACACGCGATTTTTAATTTTTTTAAAATACTTCCCGACACCCCCCCGTCATTTTCAATAGGTTCCGTCACGGGGTAAAGCTGCATAAATATTCCAAATATGAAGTCGATTGCTTCAAATTTCGGACACATATCGTGTTTCATAGCAAAGTCCGAAAAACAGTCGAAAATCGCGAAAAAAAATTGGATACCGGCGGCGAATCAGGGCCATTTCTTATAAGCTTATGTGCTTCGTGAAGGGTTAAAAATGAGACAAATTTCAATTTTGTAGCTCCAACGGTTCTAAAGTTATTCAAAAAAAACCAAAAGACGAGAGCGGACAGACAAAAAAAAAATTTTTTTTCGACGGTAATCATTTCTGTACCAACGGCGATCCCGTAGGACTTACCGTTACCGAGATATAAAATTTTTATACGAGTGCAGATACTTTCGAAAAATTCGATTTCATCGATTTTCGAAAGTAACAAGTAAACATTTACAGAATAGAATGCGGGTCAGTTTCAGTTCAGCTCTGAAGTAACCAACAGGATGATTGACGAAACGTCAGCAAGTTTTGATTTATAAACAACCAACGAGGGAGGAATCCAGAATATTTATCAACAGTATTGAACGTGTTGTTTGGTCACCTTAAAAACCCCGAAATCCCAAAACGAAACAAATTTCGTATATATGTGCAGGGTGTTTTAAAATAAATGCGAAAATCCTAAGGGTGTTGTTATTGTTTAAAATGAAGGGTAGTTTGTTATATAAACAAATATGGCAGAAATGTAATGTTTTTATTTTTTATATTAACTTAACTTGAACTAACCAAAACTAAAACCCGAAACTTTTGCGGCTTATCGCCGCGTTTAACAGCAGGGTTAATACAGCGGTGATGTCACCCGTTGTTCAATATGCGTTGAGATTTTGTTTGTACAAAATTTCTAAAGATCGTCGACCTTGAACTGCTTCAAAAATGAAGCGGTACCAACGGTAATCTAGATGTTGATACCAGGAAACAAAAATATCTGCATACAAGTACAAAAACAAAAGCCGAAATACATTATTAAAAACGCGACGGTTGCACGCGAGAAGCGGTTTGGACGGTTACTGAATTTTAAAGACCGCTTCCGTCTCGCGAACGGATAATATAAAGGTAGTACCGAAGAGAGACCGGTGGAACCGTTGACACAGTTCAAGAGAGAGTGGAATCGGACGGTAGTCTGGTTTAGTTCATGGCACCGAGCTAAACTGGAGACCACATTTACATTAATTACCGTCCAGCGTTGACGCTTTTCAATTACTAGTTGTCGCCTGGTGAAAATATGCCGCGAAACGTGCGATTTCTGGGATCGTTAGGTCTGTTGTGTTTGGTGGCCGTCGCATCGGCTACCCAAGTGAGCCAGTGTTCGAGCGGTAAGTCCAAGAAAAACGAGATTCGGAAAGTAAAAATTCGTTCGATATACAATGACTTGTCATGTTTTTTTTTGTTGTCTAAGGTAATAAGTTATGGGCGTTTTATTGTAATTTCCGACCTTTTAGATGCGTTGGGAGCGTTCTCGCGCAATTTCGTAAAGTATTGCAGGAAATTTCGCGCTAATTCCTGATCGAGGATTTCGAAACTAGGCGTTTCTGTGCTTGTTTCGTTTCGATTGAATTTTAAATGAAAAAATATCTTCCGAAAATTATCTACATTTTTATATTTTCAATTCAATTCAGTATCAATTAACAATTTATTTTAACAAAAGTAAAAGACCTCGACATATCACTGGTTTTATATAATAATATCGATTGTGTACAAACTAACAGAGACGCCAAAGTGAATTAAGAATAGAAAATATCTGAATTTTTACCAATTATTTGATTGCAACCATTCCTGTTTTTTTTATTTTCGGCGGTTGATATTTTGTACAGGGCAAGTCAACGATAAAGAAAAGTTCATTATCTCATGAGAATACAAAACGTGCATACAAAAATTACGAATCAAACACTTTTTTTTTAAGATTTGTTTTTTCTTTCTTCAACTTTTTTATTCCCAATATTACAAAAAAATATTACAATTCAAAGATGACGCAAATAGTATTATTATAAAGGCGCCATTATTTAGGTATATCACTTATATTTGATATTAGCGTTATCCGAAAGTGACGTAGAGATATATGCCACGGAATTTGAATTGGATGCTGCAGAGTGTTCAAAATAAACGAACATATTTGGTTAGTTTTACATTGAAAAATTGAAAAACAGACAATTATTAACAATTTTGCTGAAAATAACAGCCAAATTTTAAATTCACGCAAAAAGTAAATATTATTAAATATACCTATTACTATAAATTAAATTATCTTATTTTTAATTATTATTACTGTGGAGCAATAAGTGTTCAAAAATATGCGTGGACATGTTTAGTCTTTTTCGTTTATTTTCTTGGACGTTCCTTAGCATAAATTGTGTTATTCTCCAGTAAGCGTCTCGACTCCTATTTTCCACATCTTCTAGTGCGGTAGGGAGATTCACATAAATGCGATCTTTAAGATATTCCTACAAAAAAAAATCTTGTGGTGTTAAGTCACAAGGTAATGAGGGGGAGCTCCATCTTGCTGACACCACAATTGATGTTATCGACTTCTTGAAGAAGTTGAGGTTTAAATATCTGTGGTTCCATATGAAAATTTCCAATTCTTTTTCCTTATTGGTAGCATTCCAGCGTACCACTTTCCGTTTTTTATCTTCAGTACTACCACTAGCTTCAAACTGCTCTACGTCTATTAGTTGTTAGGTAAAAATTTGACAATGTCATTTTGGCTTGGGCAACTAATGTTATAGCAATAGTCTTAGACAGAAAGAAGGAAAAGTTAATATAAATCACAAAGTATTAAAAATAGTTATATGACATATACATATATATGCATATATGGTGGGCTATTTAATAAAATCGAGATTTTTGAATTTTAACTGATCCAAATATATTCGTTTATTTTGATCACTCTGTAGCATCTAAGTCAATTTCCTGTCGTTTAAGTCATCTTCTAATAAAGCTATATGTCTTATTCGTCACGGTTTTTTTGAGTCACTCGGTATATTCTATACAATTTTTCTATTTACCATTTTCTCATAACTTTTTAAACCAATAAGATAATCAACTTTTCACCATCGTTGACTCACTTTAAAATTATAATGTGTCTTAAAATGCAGCTCTGGATTTTACTTTTAAATCCCATGTAGATCTTTTGTCATTATATGAAACATAAAACAATATTTACATAATCATAAATAGTTTTTTAAGAGCCTCTATATTAAATATAAAATTAAGAAGTAGCTATTATTTTGTTTGCTCCCACACTAATCTAGAATTGAGTTATTTACAGGCGATAATTTTGATACGCATGAAAACAGATTTTCAATGTTGCAAAAAAAAACCGAACTGAATCTTGGGACCGACTAAAAGCACTGGACAAACGAAGAGTCAAGGTTCTCGTGCGGGATACGAAGTAAACGACAAGGAAAAAAAGTTCAACGTGCGTTATTTGTCCTTTGTCAAAATAACTTTTTTTCAACCTCCAATGATATGCGACTTTTAAACGGAGGCTTGCCTTGACACGACTGTTAAAATAATTAAGACGCAAAATGACATCTTATACTGTACCAGCGTAATTTCTCTGTGAAATTTTTAAGCAGCGAAATTGCGATGCCTACAAATAAAGTTTTATATAGGATGTTCCGCGCACGTTGGGTGGTCCATTAAAACGTAATAACATGCATTCTAAAAACACCATGGCGTCGCCAGAGCTACCAGAAACCAGAAAAAGAGAGTTTTTATTATTATTGTTTCCGAAAATAGCCGCATTGAAATTTCAAGTTCGGCATTCGTCTGGGGTAAATGTGACAACCCTGCGTTTGTCATCATTTATATATTTTGAAATTTGAAACTATTTTGTTATATATATTTTTTCAAAACTTTTAATAGCGGCCACTAAAAGTGATTCGCCCTGTATCGAACAAGTTATCGAACAGCCGTTACGTAAGTAACATGTATTTAAAACACAATGGCGGGAAACGCTATTGCCATGCAATCAAATACGCGTGAAAAAAGTTTGTTTAACATTGACTAGGTGCCTTCTCTAAATATCCGTAATTTGCTCAGACATGCCGTCGTTAATTTACTCATTAATCGTTGAACCGTACGTTTTACATATCGAATTTCTATAAAATTGTAATTGCTCACCATTAGCAATAATATTTATTTGGTAATTATCGACTGACACTTTAAATGCTCGAATATAGATGACGGTGAAGATATAATTGATTGGTTAATTATAATCATGTTTATATAACGATGCAACCGATGAACTTTGCTAGTTAAAGTCGTTACGACCAAAAATATTGGTAAGGACTTTCATATATATCGGGTGGCCTGTATTTATTATCGGTAAAAAATATCGAAAAAAATTAAAGCAAAAAGAGGTTTTATTAGTTTCGTTTGTATTCACTTATTTTTTTGAAGTAGAAGATTTTTTATTTCCAAGATAAGGACGCCTACCATGGGGATGGTGGAAACTATAATAGAAGCGAAGATGGTTAAATGATTAAAAAAATTAAATAAAAGGTGCCAAATTCAAAGGTTAATACCGTTCTGTTAGGAAGACTAGAAAATTCGCATCACTTTCGAAGATACCCAAAAAGAACTAAATTTGCCGAATTTGTTTTAAATTTATTCACAAAATGGTACATGCCGTTTTTTAACGTTGTTTCTTTTTTTTTTGTTGGTTCTTTTTTGCTATACAAAATGCTGCAATGTTATATCTTATAGAGGAGACAACCGAGTACAAAAACGTTAAAAACAGCATGTAAAACTATATCAATAAAATTATTTTGATATTCTCTCAACGCCATCTTGTCAGCGTCTACTACACCAAAACATTGAAAACCCTTTTTTGTGATTTAAACAATGTGGAATCACATTGTTTCGCGCATCGTTGCATTCGTAATAAAAAATTCTATTCAAAACATGGTGCAGTTTTTTTACTGACCATTTGAACAAACAAAGTTGATTTTGTTTGAGTTTCTGATATATTTTGTATTTTATGTCAAAGGTGACATTTGCGTTTGCTCCTACTGAAAGCTTGTGGGATTGATTTCTTTACAGGAGGAATATGTAGACATTTTAAATTTAAATTAATCTAAACTGACATTAGAAATTTAAACCAAAAAATGGTTAAAATCCATTTTTTTGGAATTGACACCTCAAAATTTTGTAAAAGGTTGCTTATTTCCAATAGTTATAGACGTCGAGATATTAGCATACAAAAAATTTTTTTCTACTCCCCTGACATTTTTTAAATGATAAATACCTTAATTCTTTTAAACCCGTTTTTGTGAATACCATACTTCTACCTTTTACGAGACGGAAAGTTAAATAAAAAGAAAATTGGTAATAATAAAACAAAATATTATTTTTTTACTTCCTTCTGTAAAGTACCTAATTATATACCGATCTAGCGTGCAGGGATGCCATTTAACAGATTTGTTGCATAATATACTATTCTAGCATTTCTAGCAAAATAATAATCAATAATTCGGATCTTTATAGCTAATTAAAAAGCCTAATTGTTGAAATAGGGGAAATGGTACGAATGAATTAATATGTTAAATTTTATTATTGCTGGAGCTGCTTCTAATTTTGACTTCATCTGCAAACAGTAATCTATTTTACAATATTTGTTTGTTGTTTCAGCAAAGTTCGACAATCTCACAGACAATGTTCTAATTGGTAACTGTGATAAACCGCCCTGTAGACTCAGGAAAAACACGAAGATACCTCTGACGCTTAAGTTCCAGCCTGGTAGGTTATTCATGCCTATTTTCTTGAAGAATGTGCTGTTTTTGCATCGACCGATTTCTTATCTTTGCCGGTAAAGAAGAGATAAAAAAAACCATATTTAATAATATGATTAATAATATAATAATATGACTAATCAAGCATTATTTTAATATTAAGATTATTTCAGTTGTGGTTATCTAAATTAAGATTTAGTTGATTCAAATAATATAATATTTACCCGGCAAATTACAAAACTTTTAAAGAAGTGTAATACATAACGAATGATTCACGTTTATCACAAATAAGGATGATTCTTTTCAAAGCAATTGAAAATAAATAACCATTTTTAAATAAATTTTATATAACTAATAATTAATATAACACTCTATGCCAGCGAAATATGTTCCCTAAGTTGGACAATCTTACTTTATAATATAGCTGAATTTTATAATATTTAAAAAGAAATTCAACAGTAGCCAAGAAAAGAGCTATGTAGCTGCAGCTAGAAACCTTTGCTATAGAATTAGCTGCAAAGGAAACTTAGCAAAGTGAATTTTGCTAGCGCAGAAAAGCTCTTGGCTTGCTGCAAATAAATTTTTGGATGTGCTTGAAGAAAACTTGTCTCAGTGTATCGCACTGTATAAAACACAGTATAATTAATAATTCGTTAAAAATAATTTATTTTTAAGAGTTAAATAGACTAGATATAATTTTCAAAAATTCTGTTTAAGTTAAGTTAAGTTTAAGTGTTATGGTTTTAGGAAGCCAGGTAAAAAATTTGAAGCAGACTGTGAACGCGAACTTGCTGGGATTAGAATTCCCTTTCATCGGTGTTGACGGTAGCGACGCCTGCGACAGAATATACGAGGAGGACGGCAAAACCCAAAACAATTGTAACTTCCAAGACGGCAAAACGTACATATTTAAAAACACGATCGACGTGTTGCAGATATATCCCAGGGTGAGTTACATTCACTTACAAGGGCAACGCCAAAATTTCCTTGCCTGAATATGAAAGAAACAAAGTAGAGTAACCATGTTTTATTATTTTTCAATATAATCCCCCTTAACTTCAATACACTTATTACATCTCTTTATTAACAACTCAATCCCAAATATTCTTTTGGTTTGTCTGCAAAATGAGCTAAAACAGCCTCTCTTTATTTGGCAATAAATTCTCAATTACTAGAGAAAATGCATGTTTTGCGCAAAGCAGACAAAAAATGTAAAAAAAGTAATTTCATTGCTTCCTAGCTAAATATTTTAACCAAAGGCAATTTTATAAAAGAATTAGAAAAATTTGTGTGACTAGATAAATAGGTAAATTAATACCAACGTTGTTAGCAAATTCACATTTGTTTATCGCTTTCTCTTATCATTTCGATTCTAAAGGTGTTAAGAATAAATAAAATAAAAAAATAAATAGGTGTATGCATGTATACTTATACAAATGTTTATGCCGCAAATGAAATAATAATTAAATTAATGGCGATTTTAAAACATGCCCAGTCGTAGTTAATTGGTTGTAAAAGGGGTATAACGTCGAGTTTTTACGACTTCTCGTAAGATGCGATAAGAACGAAAACGCCTAACACGTTAAATTATTTCGGTCCAATACAAACTGAGAGTCGAAAACAAAAATTTGTTCTATATGGCATTGGTAGTGTGCAATAAAGACATACCACCCATGGGAATTTTCTGAAATTAACAACCGACATCATATTGTCTACGACCTTAGCGTCCAGCACAGAATGTTTTTTTTTTATTTGTGCTTAACTGGATACATCACAAATTAGGATATTCACCCATTTTCCGGCACACGCCGAGGAAAATTTATCGGTGGGAAAGCACAGAATGTCTATCTCGCCTGGTTCATGACTTTAAGAACCTACGGTCACAGAGCATAATCCCAAGTATAGACGAAACCAACATTATTATACGCCATATAAACTTCGGACCAACGATTAACTTAATTTTTTTAAGGACACCCTTTGTTTTTAAAACTAATTCTCGGAATACATGTTTTCCTGTCAAAATATCCAAAATTGCCAATGAAATTAAAGCAAGCGAGTTATGGAAATGTCAAATTTGAAATTGTATTTTGTCAGAACTAAAAGCGTCCGGCATGGAGGTGAACATGGCATCCTTATTTTTACGAACGGTGCCTCCGTAGGAATGTAAATGTAAATGTTTTAAAATTTATAATCTCGTATTTTTTGATAAGCTTTGGTTGGTTTTCGTTAGTTTAGTTTTGACAGGCTTGCTAGATGTATGTATGTGATTATTGATTAATGCTTTCAGTTCGGGAGTTAAGTTCACTGGCTGGCTAGACGTGTCAAAACGTGGAGCATGTTCTAAAATGTCAGCCTCCTCAGCCGCATCAATACTACCTTCCGTTTCGCTATTTTTTCCGCAAATATACAACTACAGTGAAAGAATTAATTTATGAATAGTTTGACTCGGGACTTAACTATACATTTATACCTTGGGAAAATGTATAAGATAATTTATGGATTGTCCGGGAACTGCCAGCGAATATTTTTTTCCTTAATTGTTTCCTTTGTTAAATATTAAAGACAAAGACTGTGACTATAAATCTTGTAATTAAAAAGGTCGTTTGTATTGTTTAAGTTAGGAACGTGACGAAATTTGTAAATAAGTCGATTTAAATAATTTCGCGTTCGGTATGGAGCAGACTCTTTTCTTTCTTGAAAAAAACGTATTTGTCATCTCGGGCTTCAGACAGCGAACGTAGACAGATCTGGTGTATACAGGGTTTCTCAAACTCAACATTCTTTATAATTAGGACAGTAAGTTATAGTGAAACTCAAACGCTGGTAAATAAACTTAAAAAAATGTTATAATTTATTTTAATATATGGCGGCATAAGAAAGAAACATACGTTTGCGCATGAATGAAAAAAAAAGTTATAAAAAATATATTCAAAAATGAATATTTTGTTTATCAAAAAAGGCATACGCATTTATTTTCGGTTACTATTTTTATTTAATTATAAAATATCGGAAATCAGTTTATCACTGATTCCCGAACAATAATCATCATAATACATCAATTGCGAGACGAATAGGTACACCTAAATTAAGTGAAAAAAAATTGGAAAATAATAGAAAACCCAGAAACCATTCGAATAGTTTTATAAAAAATAATTATCATGACTGAACCGCCAAAAGAAAACCGTTTGTAATTAAAAAAAAAACGGAAATAAACCAGTTTCGGAAAACAGACCTTTGATGACAGTAAATTGGATTGGGGTGAGCAGTATAGTAATATCGTAATATAACGTATAGTATAACTAGCAGCTTCTTAAGAAAAAATTGAGAGTGAAACACACATAATAGTACGGGGCTGTCCGGCTGTGCGCAGTAGTGGGCGACTTGCATCTTATAGAAGGAAATTATAAACAAAGTGCGGATATATACGTTATCGAAAATCTATCATTCGGAAAAAGTCAATCTAGTAGGAAACCAAAAATTGGAAATATTCCAAATGGTTATCATTTTGTTAAACCAAATAAAATATTAAAATTAATTGTAGTACTATCCACTCAATGAAAACCATGAAATACATCGGTTTTGTTTATATATTTGCTGGGATATCAGTTTCGCTTTGACTCGTACTATGTAAACATTGAGTGGCAGCCATGGGAGGTCTATTTTAAAAATATTTGTGACACTCGAATCAAGAAAGCAACTGTTAAAATGCTGTTAAACATTTCGAATCCTTTTTACGCAACATGCGTCTTAATCTATTAACTATCTTAAGCAAAGGAAAATAATATTTTTTTAAAATTCGTCAAAAAACATCTACCAAAACCAACATTTCAGTAAAAAATCGGAAATTTTGAATGACTTGTCAAGAGCGAGCTTGTCATTAAAATTTGTTTGGTTCCTACGATTTAATTTGTCAAGATAAACTGTTTTATAAATAAGGTTTTTCTGCGACAATAATTTTCTGCAGACTTGTCTTGTTTTCAAATAATCATTCAGTGGGACAACTGGTGTTAACCAAAATAATAATATTGTTAGCGACAAAGTTAAAAAAATGTTATTCTTTTACCCAGTAATACTTTTTTAATATAAAAAATAAGGAACAAAATATACCATTTACAAAACACGCAAGCACAAAATTTAACTAGTGGCCTACCCAACTTGTTTTAGACAATAAGTGTCTTCCCTGTAACCAAACTACCAGCTACTTTTTACTAAAATAGCTCAAGTATTTTAGTAATCAATTAGGTAATTTTTTTTAATAAAGAATCCCTACTCTCACTTTCCAGTGATTGCTCAATTACATTCATCCTACATAGTTTTGTGCAACCCGAATTTATTAAATTTATTCTTATAACTTTGCTAAAATTTTATTCTATTTTTTGTTGCAGGTGAAAACGGTTGTGCACTGGGCTTTAACCGATCCCACCACCGGCAAAGACGCGCTTTGCTTCGAAGTACCCGCTAAAATTACAAATTAATTTCTTTTATTTTTTTGGTGTATTAAACGGCATCTAGTCTCGAGAAATTTTATTTGCCTCCCTATATCCCTTCCCTGGCTTGTATTCTGCTTACGATGAAATAATAAATGATCAAAACACCTCGAATGATGACGTCGCTCACTCCCCTCAACAATTGATTTTATTTTATGGGCAGAAAAAATGCACTAGCACGCAACTCTTGGACAGTGTAGCTATATTAGTATTTATTTAAAAATTATAACCTGTGACTTTCTCCGAATTTAGCTTGCATAAAGTAGTTTTTATGAATTTATTAGATAATAAATAATAATAAACGACTAAAAATTTTTTTTAGCATACAGAAACTTTTATTATAAATATTAATTTATCTTCCAACCAAATTAACAAAACTGCAGGTAACAACGTGATCTTTCAAAAAAACAAAAAAAAAAACAAGGACGATAATTAACTTGAACGACTACATCCCCTTTTTAACCCTAAAGTGGAACTGGACCATTCCGTTATTCGAGTAAGAAGACAAAATGCGATTTGGAAGAGCGACGCATTTCTTCAGCAGTTCATCTTCGATCATTTCTTTCAGACAGTAATCAGTCCTGATTAGCCGTTTCTCTGGCTTCTTTATGTCGATGATGCTCACTTCGTACACAAAACTTTTGGTATCGTTTTGAACCCCGATAATTTCGGACGCCCACATGTAGCTGTCGCCCCATCTCCTGCAGGTTAACCTAGAAATTATATTAAAATTGATCGACCCAACGAGTATAAACCATAGACAAAAAATTGTAAAACATTCGCTAGTTATCTATGGTGCAAACCTCTACACTTTTTGTTGGCACTGGAACTGATCTTTTCTACAAATAAAATTATCTTCTTGTCAAGTGAACATATTTCATTTCTTCAAAAGGGCATACATTTGACAATTATTTCATAATAATACTTAATTTTTACAATTGGAAAAAAGTTAAATCACCTTTTTGCAAAGTGAATATTATAAAAATAAAACATTATTATCGCTATCGGAAATAACATACTTAATTTTTCACACAAAAATCTCTTAAAATGTGCTGTATTTATAAATGTATCCTCAATATTTACTGTAGAATTAAAAGAAGATTAAGATTGTAACAATAAATTAAATTTATGTAACATAAAAAAATTATAAAGTAAAAATTATGAAAGGACGCAAAAAAATTATTTCATATATACGTTTTCTTTTAATAATTAACCTTACCTAAAAATGTGGTCATAGGCTAGGAGAATTTTTCTATCAACGATTTGGTTAAGCGGGTGGTACGCTTCGAGCCGAAATGTTTCAGTATACCCTTCAAAAATGACATGCTCGCTATGGAATTCTTGCAAATGGGTTACTATAACGTCCTGACTTCCAGTCATGGTGCATAGGTGAACAGGGCAATTGTAGGGCTTGTATGGACACACAGCTTAAAAAATTATACTTGAGCCTTAACAACTACAAAAATTAACAAAAAATCTGCTAATTGACAGAAAACACAGCACAGGAGTTCCTTGAGTGACATATTTTACATATTTTTTTTCTCTGTATATTTCACAATGTGATATAAGTAAATGTATGGCCAATTAAGAAGGGCGCTCGGCCGTATCTTAAAATGTATTTGTCGTAAAAACTTGGGGTGAAAAACTTATGGAGTACCCACCTAGAAAATATCAAAAATTTTTAACAGAGAATGGTAAATATAAAATTTACAATACATATATATAGATAATCAGAACTAACATATCTGCTACCTATTTGGGCTACTTCTAAGTACAAGAATAAGGCTCTACAGACTCTCTTTGAATTAAATAATTAAAAATTTGCAAATATTAAATACAGATGTTATGCACATTAACCAAATTAATTTCCATTATACAAGCAGAAAAAATAACATTTCTTACAGTGATGATAAGAAGTAAACCTCATTTGAAGGAAAATTAAAAGCCTAGTGCCTCCAATTATCATCTGTGTGCCTCCAATACCAATACCTAAACCATTGACTAGTTGTTTGATTTTATTCTGTTTTAAGTTAGAAATTAGTTTAAGGAAAGAAAAAAAGTGTAAAAGCAACCATTTTGTCAAACTTGGGGTCATTGAAAAGCACTCTTAAACCATCAACGCTGTCCTTGACGGATTGATTTCAATTAGTCGTATCGCCGCTAGATGACGTTTTAAGATATAAATAAAATTTATTTTTCCAAAAAAATTAAATGCATCATCACTTTTATGACAACAAAAGAAACAAATAAGGGCGGAACATGAGAGTGAAAAAATCATTTCGATCGCCATCTTTGGGTATATTTTTAATATTTTGACGCTTAAAACGCCAACATATGATTTAATATTGCAATACAATATCCTACAATAATGAAAAACAATTGCCTTTAGACTCTTATTTGGTTATCTTTTTGTTTCATTAAAAGTGATGTTGCAAATCACCCTCTAGCGGAAATACAAGTAATCTAAATAAATTTGCAGCGTTGATAGACTAAAAAAAAGGCCTTTTCAACAACTCTATTGACAGCGAGCTGTCTGAAATAGTTTCAGCGCTCTGAAGAAGTCAGCAGCATGTTTGGTGAAACGTCAGCAGGACAGAGTTAATATCCGACACACCTCTCCGACCTACCGGTTCTACAGCCTGCGGAAATTTAAATGAAAAATTAATATGATTATTTTTCAAAAAATGCGAGTTAAAATTCAAAAATGCTAATACTTCCTCTGGCGGCCATTTTATAAACTTAAAAATTATTTCCAGCAATTCCCTTAGTTATAAGTTTTTTCACCCTACTTACGAAAATTACTTTTCGGGATATGGCTGAATGTCTTTAATTCCCCATCCAGTACGGTTATTTGAATTCTAAGATAATCATTGTAAACTACTCTTTTATATTCCATTGGATTATCTGGTAGTGGTATACAACTTAGTAGAAGTAAGTAGTAAGTAGAAATAACTAATGGTACATATAATTCAAATAATGATGGTTACCTTCATGTTTAGCAATATCAGCAGGCGACAATGACATCATACATCCCAAATCGTGGAAGGTGCAAGGGTAAGACACTCCCACAGTTAGACCTTCCAGTGAATAATTTCTGGTCATTCCGAAGGGTGCTCTGCAAGTTGGACACTTTTCCAATCTTGGCTTGCAGGAATTGCAAATGCTGTGACCTGACTGGCACTGATAGATAGGAGGTTTCATGAAGCTCTTGCATACAGGACACTCAAAGAACTGCAGCATCCGCTCTTCTAAATAGTGAGCAGGAGCATCAAATGTTTTGATTTTAAAAATGTTGGTAATTCTATTGGCCACCTTGACGGTTTGTTGCAAGGACAGTAGATCAACGCTAACGGCGATAGATTCATCCAAATCTCTGTAAATATATTTAGATTCAACAACAGTGGATCTAGTTTTTATGTAGCTGTCACTGTTCCCTTTATGTTTCACAGAATAATCGTAAGTAGTACCATCATCTTTCACATGACATACAACATAATACAGCTTGTTCTTCTCTATGCTTAGTTGCATCTTCAGGAGTAAAATTATATTTTTTGTTACAAGCAATTTAATCACTTCTTCTTCAGCCATTGATACATCCAGGTAAAATAAGTTACAGTCAAATTTAATAACGTGTTCCCCGTGGTAATTCAAAAAATGACCCACAAACTCTGTTAGAAACCCCTCCCAGGTGCAATTGCATACAGACCACATAGGACATCTTTTAGAACGAAATATGCAAATGTCTTCATGATATAATAAGTCCGAGGACGAGCAATAGTACTCACACCCGTTTTCCCGATACCTGCAAGGGTAATTTAAAGAAGAAACAAGTTCTTCAATGGCCGTGTTCTGCAGCGACTTGCTGTTTATGAAGTTTTCTCTGAAACAGCTAATGCACGTGTTACCGACCTCTTCTACCAACATGACTGGTGTGGATAACAGTAGCTTCTTGCACAAACCGCATTGCAATATATTTTTTTTCAGCAAAGTATCCACCACCGAATTAGACGTGTTGGACATATTGTGAAGTTGTGGCAGTAATTTTTAGCAAAAACTACATCATCCTCGTGATAAAGTTGTACGATGTTTATATTTGTTGGGATGTTGCAATGTTTATATCACAATTAATCATGCAGTCAGCAATAACCAAATTCAAAACAAAAAATAATTTACATAACCTTTAACATTTTGATCATTGCATACTGCCGACGCGCCATGTTCTCTATTCCGTGGTGAAATCTTGTATTGCAAAGAAGAGAGGATAGTGTGTTGTATTTCTCGCTGTTCTGACGTCACTGATTATCAATACGATATTAAAATGAAAAGCGCGTCTTCAAAAGGTTGAGGAAATGTTTAGTTTAGTTTATGTTGATTGGTCGCTTATTTACATATACCCTTCACTATTAGTAATAAGTATATAGTAGAGACGCAGACTATATTTTAATTTGTTTTATTATTTTCAGTACTCTGTGAAATTGTTTACAATCATTTGCAGAATTTTAACATCTAGATCGATGGCGTATGTATTACTTACTTATATAAACTTGTACCTCTACATTATATCAATTAGCTGTACACAATGCAATCGATCAGAGCCGCATTGCGAATTATGCATAGTGACATAATAAATTATACCTAATGTCAGTTGTGCATATAACGTAATAATAATGTTTTGCGGATTGGGGCTGGGGGCAAAATTAAATACAGTGCTTTACGTTAATAATTGAGGGATTCCTAAATGCAACATATAAACCGGTCTCTAAATCCTTTGATGGGGTATTAACGAGTTTCGCTTGTTTGTTGAGAGTTGAATCTGCTTGCGAGGCGGAAGCATATCAAATTAGAATTGAAGCAAGTTTGCTCTCGAAAACCTTTGTCCGACTTCGTTTTATTGTTGATTTTCGGATAAAACGTAGGTGCATGCTTTAGAACTTTTTAAACTATTATGTAATTTCAAATAGGCTGGTCGCATTTTTTAAACGACTTGCACATTTTAATTATATTTTCACCACTTTTTTAAACAATTCCTTAGACAATATTTCAAGATTCCTAAAACTGCTATATTTTTAGGACAAGGAAGAACAAAGTCTATGTGCGAAAAGTATTATTGTACAGAGTACAAGGTAAAAAAAAAAACTGTTTCTCTTATACCTCCCCAATATATAGATGTATACAACTTTACAATAAAATGTAACAAACTATACTACAGGATGCAATAAAGAAAATGTGTCCTAACCCCCAACACTATATATGAAACATAATATAAACATTAATTTTTTTTATATGATATAGAATGGTATCTATTTATTTCTGTTATTGCATGTTTTTTTAAGACCTCGATGCCAGTTAATGGTAATTGTTTAGAGGTCGGCAATAATTTGTTAATAAATAAATATCCCCTTGACTTTTGAAGGCAATAGGGAACTTTAACATTTTTTTTATTTCTTTAATAAATTTGTTTATGTATAGAAATAACGCATATCAAATGTCAAAACTCAAAAGCCAATATTTAAGTTGCAATAAACAATGCAAATTGTGACACCCGCTTAATCGTTTTAAACGACACGAAACGCGCAAGAACGATCGTGACGCTGCGTTTCGATCGATGCTTTACATGATAATAAGAAAGCAACACAAAAACAAACCTGTCAAACGTCAGATAAATTTTTTATTCGTCTACTAGAAAATAAAACCGTCGTTTTTTGTTATCATTATGTTCGAACTTGCACCTATCCTATTGCAGTCTCCCCAGGGATGGCTTCTTGATCTGTATTACATAAAGAACACTTTAAGTTATCAATTCCAATTAAAATCAGTATTTAGGTTTCCACTAGTTTAAAAAAAATCCTTTTTGTTTTTTTTTTGTTAAATAATTTATATTTTATTTGATAAACCATTTGAATTTTAAAAACTAGAAAACTTTAAGCTGATTACAATAATATATTGGTTGAAAACTAGTGGCTAAATTTTCTATGAACAAGCCTTTTAGCTTTATTACTGCAAACCACAGATGTCACCATAAATATATCCAGTAAAGGTAAATTATCAGATTGACGTTTTAAAAAATCGGCTTCGGTCATTTTCAACTTTCCTTTTGGCGGGTTATCTGACGGGCGAATTGACGTCACAACCGGTTTCAGCCAATGACAGCGCGTTTCAAAGGTCTCCCGACTTAACAGTACTTGATAAGTTCTTAAGAGCCTACATTCAAAATAAAATCCACGAGAGATATAGTTTTCAAACTAATATACATCTAAACTAATTTTGCGAGAGGAATATAGATAACACGGATAAAAATACTTCTTGAATAAACTTTTTAAGTCAATAAAATAAATTAGTACTAGATAGTACTAGATTAGTGAATTAGTGAACTAAAACTGTTAAATATATAAAATTATATTGTAACATAGTTATTAAATAAAAGATTAAATAACAATAATAATAATAATTTATTTGCATTTCATGCCCTACTATAAGAAGTCATATTAAAACATTGAATACAGACTTGAATTGAAAACAAATGGTAAGGTGTAAATATTCGGAAAGTGCTTCGCGGATGCAATACAATGATGACAAATTATACAGGGTGGCCCATTTAAACTTTATGTTTTATTTTAATTCAAAAAATAAAATCTAAAAAAAGTATTTGATTCTACGTGAGAAAATCTCGGTGGACGTATTTTTATTTTTTCTATAGTTTAAATATTAATGCAGATACGAGAAGCGCCGTAAGTTGCGACATTTTCAAAATACGGGGTAGCTTAGACAATGGGACAAGAAAATTCTGTCGACGGCATCTTTCGTTTCACAAAAAAGTAGCACCATGAGCCGCGAACCACAAGCATATAGTTTTACTAATAACCGAGATATTTCTGACACACTGTATTAACTACATGTCATGTAAAATTGGATGGAATAAAATGGCATGATGAGAATTATAGGGGTAGGATGTTAAGGTGTAACCGAAGTATATTCAATTCAATTCAATTATGCGTTTCACAAAAAAATGTTGGGCTCGACTGCTAGGATCATTCGCCCATTGCCGACTTCCGTCGAGGATTTTCGCTGGTCAATGACCACCACGTACAAAGAAGAAAAATAACCAATAATTTGCTCAGCTAGCAAAAAACGATTCTGACCGATACCAAAAAAAACGGCTTCCCCCCGCTTCCACCGCGGACCATCCGGGCCCATCCGGCCTCCATACCGGCGTGAACAGGGAAAAACGACGGGGCCCACGACGATTATCACTTCAAAACATGCATTGAACACTAAAACACTAAGTCCACACAGTGGAAACCGATATCAAACGTTTGAGGACGAATACAAGGGATTCTGTCGGGAGCGAACGGAGGTTAAACCGCCGCGTGCAATGCTCCACCACAGAATCACCGAAGTATATGAACTTAATTTTTTGGTTCTTCTTCATTTACACTTTATTTGGCCACTGGATCATAAGGCAATTCGGCCAGCTTACCAACATGTTTATTTAAACTTTAATGAAACAAGGTTAACGATTCGTGTTGATCACCGACCAACCCATTTACTGGTTACCGGTGTGTAAGACGAAAACAGCGAAACCGCGGGACCCTTATATCACCAAAAAAACACTACCTATTTGTTCACTAAGATCCACCACAATAACAAATTCACCGAGAACAATTGTTAAACTTCGAAAAACACGGATTCTGTAGGCAGTGGACAAGGATCGAGCCGTCTCGTACAATGCCACCCAGAGAATCCCAGTTTTTGGTTAGTAACGATTCTTTGTATTCTGCGATGTCACATAATACTTGTTTTCAAACAGAATTGTAAATCAAATATATAGCAACATGTATATAGATCAGATTAACAAATTTTGACGTGACGATACACTTCAACTAGCATTATAAATAATTCTATAAAAACATGTTCTTAGAATCCTTGAAATAAACTTTTGGTATTCTCAAAACATAGCATCTAAATATTGTGTCATTTTATATTACATCCGACAGTGGAAATATTTAAAAGATATTCAAAAGATATCCGCCACTGGATGTCAAGAAGTTGTACAAAAGTAGTTGTACGGCTAGAGAATTTCCTGGACTTCTTGGATAATGCATGGACTAATTTGAAATATCCAATAGATGTCGCGTGCTATCTGGGCTGTATCGTGCGTATGGAACCAAATTTCATTAGTGATAAATTACACATCTGTTTTCGGATCAAATCGTTTTAATTTCCTCAAGGTAATTAAATCTCGTAGTGCACAATCTGTTACCACTTGATTTTTTTATTGTTTGGTTGTATTTAATAACTCTTGACTTTCTGCAAATAACTCTATGGACGGTGGTCCAGCTACTAACTATATTGGTTTCATATTCATTTAGCTTCCTTTTCAGTTTGTCCAAAGTAGAAACAATATGGTTTTGATAAAGGAAATACATTTTGTTTCTTATCATATCTATTCACTATGGTTCAAACCTTGAGATTGAAAATCACTATGCTTCTTCTCCTATTCAATAATTTGCTGGTAACAATAAATTACACAGGTCTACAAAATTAAATTTTTATTTTAATTTAAATTAATTTTTTTATTTAGCAAAAAACTGGAATCCTAGTTAGGATTCTAGTCAGTAATATTGTTACAATACACTAGCGTTCCTTCCTTAGTAAAATATTGATTACACTTTTTCGCGATCCCGGTAAAAGCTTCATGTGACGCCAGGTCCGCATCTGCAAATGTCTAATTTAATTCGCTCTGGTTAAATCCGAGTCATCTGGGTTCGAATTAGATTCCTCTGATTCTGACGATATGACCTTTCCTAGTTTTTTTTGGGGCGGTAGATACGAATAGATCTGGTTCATGAGGAACTGTTCGCATAGCAGAGTCAAGAATACGCAATTTTTTCTTATTTTTTCTGTTGAATAATTGAACTTTACTGGAGCAAAAATAACAATAATCACTGTGATTCCTAGGCTCTCGCCATACCATTTGAACACCAGAGCTTAAACATTTCTTCCTACCTTTTTGCCATTTTCTTAATGCTGCAACGCAAACGGAACAAACAGTATGAGGAGCCCAGAACTTGTCTCGGTCGCCAATTTTTACACCTTTGCTTGCCGTTGCTTTACTCCCAAATAGCACAAGGACGTCCGTAAAACGTCCTCGGGATATATGACGGGACACAGCGTATATCCTAGGGATATACTGTTTTAACTAAGGGACATCCT